GTCGTTTTCCAAGGCAGAGGCTTTCTTTTGATAGTAGTTATCATTGCAGAATTTGTGTCCTCGATGATCAGGTGCGGCAATCCGAGGAGGTTTAATTCGTTCGGTCACGTAGGCAAGGAAGTCAAAGCAGTATTCGTGGCGATCAGCCTTGGATTTGTCATCCCTTCTAGTCTAACCGCCGCTAAGTCTGGTTCATTGATCAATTTATTTCTTAGCAGACACTGGATGAATTTCCATCAGATTAGGATACTTATAACTAATCCGGCAACAACGAAAACCGGATGGCCATCCATATGGAGACGTAAAAGGCGAGGCAGAGCGATAAGTGCGGTTATAAACAGTAATCGAGCCGTGTGTTCTTCATTATAGACAATAAATACACTCCCAACGTGTATCTATTCGTTCAAGTGGATAAAATATCACCATACAGCTCAAATGCTGCAAATTGAAGAGAGGTGTAGCTATGGAGATCGAGGGAAATAGGTATTGCATTAGCATGTATGAAGTTTCATATCCGATTAAACCATACCTGTATATTTTCAGCGGCGGTGTTAGACGTGCACAGGTCTCTTGCTTGAGCGATAGCCCCCCATTGCATGTATAGGGAGCAAGCAGGTAGTAACAATATATACCTCTGGTATACGGGTGGTATAAGCATAAATTAATAGGAAAACCGTCTTCTGTGCCACAGTCTGTGTTTCTTTTCTCTTATTATTTCTTGTAACTTCAGATACAATGAAATTAGATGTTTAGAAAGCCTATTAAGCGGAATGTGTGATAGGTATTCGACTGATAGTTGAGCGGGAATCTTATAGTGCTCAGGCTAAGGAATAGTATATATAGGCCAGGGCTTCAAGGTTATGGTAGTGAAGGATAACGGTATCAAAGTTTGCACTGTATTGAACTGAAGAGTCGCAGTGGCTTTCAAAAGTCACTAAACGATGGTGATCACCCCAGCATCTGCCGATATGTGTTCGATTTCTAAGCTTCTGGGAAAACGAGGTAGCTCTGGGTTTTCTGATAGATCTTGGGAAATTGTGTTGGAACTCAGAGGGTAGTACCTATCGTTGCTTCGGACAGATATTTTGACTTCAGAGTGTCAAAACCCAGATGAAACAACGCTGCCAACTTGGTCCACGGCTCAATTCAACATAATGAATATCAGATATATAATATCTGGTGGCAGATATTTCCATCGCAGAGCTTCGACTTCAACCTTTTTGTTGTTGTTGTTTGTTGTAGTTGTTGGTGTTGTTGATAGATGGCTGGTTAGGTAAGGGGGAAAAAGGCACCACGTGATTCTTGGCATCCAAAGTTGAGTTGGAGCTTCGGAGGCGCGAACGGCAAGACGAGCAGAAGCAGAAGAAGCAGACAGAAGCAGAGCCAGAAAACAATTTGCAGCAGGAGAGCTACGCTCGAGACAACAACGCTTACATATATCTTCTATCTACATACATATTACGCCTTTCTTCTAGGCTTGCTAGCATGGCCGGTGTTCTCGTTGATACGCCTCTCGGGGCTCCCTCACTACCAAAAACCACCCTCAACGATGCGATTCCAGATATCGATCCGCTAGAGGGCTCGACAAACGATGATGAAGACGGATATTCCATCTTGAAGCGATATCAGAGACACCTAGAGTATGACTCAAGTAACTGGTTGCGGCTATGTTTGGGAAGGAGGCTGACATTATGACTCTTCCGGATAGGTATATACAGCTACAGGAAGAATACATCAAGGATGAGCAGAGGTTAGCGGCAATCATGCCGAAATCATCGAGTGAGAAGACGTACTTGATACTGACTGCATTTTTTAGGAGTCTTAAGCGGGAGCTCGTCCGGGCACAGGAAGAGATTAAGCGTATCCAAAGTGTACCTTTGGTTATTGGCCAGTTCATGGAGGCTATTGATCAGAAGTGCGTTCCCTGTTATTTTCCCCTGAAGAAGAAACTGGTGTTAACATCACTCTTTCTTTGAAGTACCGGTATCGTCCAGTCGTCAACAGGCTCCAACTATGTCGTCCGTATCCTTTCGACTCTCGACCGCGAGAAGCTGAAGCCGTCCTCCTCCGTTGCTCTCCACCGACACTCCAACTCACTGGTTGACATTCTTCCTCCAGAGGCAGACTCATCCATTGCCATGCTTGGAGCAAATGAGAAACCGGACGTAACGTATGCGGACGTCGGAGGTTTGGACATGCAGAAGCAGGAGATCAGGGAGGCTGTCGAGCTACCGCTTACGCATCTCGATCTTTACAAGCAAATTGGTATGCTACATATATCAGGTTTGTCGGTGTATTCGTACTAATAGGTTTGCAGGTATTGACCCACCTCGCGGTGTACTGCTATACGGTCCACCGGGTACTGGAAAGACAATGTTGGTCAAAGCAGTAGCCAACAGCACAACGGCCAACTTCATCCGAGTAGTAGGATCCGAGTTTGTACAGAAATACCTAGGTGAAGGCCCTCGCATGGTTCGTGATGTTTTCCGGATGGCCCGCGAAAACTCGCCAGCTATCATCTTCATCGACGAGATCGACGCTATTGCCACGAAACGTTTCGATGCCCAGACAGGTGCAGACAGAGAAGTCCAGCGTATCCTCCTCGAGTTGCTCAACCAGATGGATGGCTTTGACCAAACCAGCAACGTCAAGGTCATCATGGCCACCAACCGAGCGGACACGCTTGACCCTGCCCTGCTTCGTCCTGGTCGACTTGACCGTAAGATTGAGTTCCCGTCGTTGCGAGATCGACGAGAACGACGCCTAATCTTTACTACTATTGCCGGCAAGATGTCGCTGTCGCCGGAGGTCGACCTCGACTCGCTCATTGTCCGCAACGACCCCCTCTCTGGGGCTGTCATCGCAGCTATCATGCAGGAGGCTGGTCTGCGTGCTGTGCGAAAGAACAGATATAACATTATCCAGTCCGACCTTGAGGATGCTTACTCCAGCCAGGTCAAGGGAGGACAGGACTCTGACAAGTATGTATTTTTCTTACTCCACCTATTTCCATCCCAACCAGGCTAACACAAGTCCTCTTTTTCCGCCTGTGTAGGTTCGACTTCTACCGCTAAGCTGAGGCCAGAGTAGCCGGCTTCGCATGATGCTGTACCATTAGAGAGTTGAATCCAAGCGTTCTCGTCTGTGTCCTGTCGTCCTGATGTAGCCATCTGTCGCCATCTCCATTGTCCCGTAGCTGTCTTGTAATCCTGTGTGTGTACAGAGTAGTAGCCTTAACAAAAAAGCGTGCCTGGCAGTGATCCACGTCATAGTGGTGATTGGCGGCAGCCTGGGCAGCGCCAACGCTCACGTGAGCAGCGTCATCGCCCATCTTTTCTTCTTCCTCTTCTTTCCGGGGAACCTCAAACATCCAACCTCCAACCTCACCATCAACCTCCATCGCTTCAGCTCTCCCGCCAGCATCACATCTCATCAACGCCGCCCGTCGAGCAGCTTTATCACCATCGAAGAGCCTACTGTCTAGTATTATCACCTCTCCTGAGCTACCATGAAGGGCTCTCTCTTGCTTGCGGGTGCGACCCTTCTGGGCTGTACCTCTGCTAAGCTGCACAGCCTGAAGCTCAAGAAGGTCTCCCTCAAGGAACAGCTTGTAAGTCATTGCAACACTCTCGATCTTTCTTAGCTTGGAGTAGCTGTATTTTCATTCCTCCAGATGCTAATAGATACCGTTGGTAGGAACATGCCGACATCGACGTCCAGATCAAGTCTCTCGGCCAGAAGTACATGGGCATCCGCCCAGAACAGCATGAGCAGCAGATGTTCAAGGAGCAGACTCCCATCGAAGCTGAGTCTGGACACAACGTCCTCATCGACAACTTCCTCAACGCACAGTGTATGTTTTTGGTTTCTCTCTTTTGATAGTTGATGTGATGTTTCTACCCCAGCCAGCCACATCAGTGAATGAGTGCTAACCGCCAGGACAGACTTCTCTGAGATCTCCATCGGAACTCCCCCACAGACCTTCAAGGTTGTTCTAGACACCGGAAGCTCCAACCTCTGGGTTCCAGGCAAGGACTGCTCGTCCATCGCTTGCTTCCTGCACAGCACATATGACTCTTCAGCCTCGTCTACCTACTCCAAGAACGGCACTAAGTTCGCCATCCGCTATGGATCTGGCAGCCTAGAGGGCTTTGTCTCTCAGGACAGCGTCAAGATTGGTGACATGACTATCAAGAACCAGCTCTTTGCTGAAGCTACCAGCGAGCCGGGCCTTGCTTTCGCCTTTGGCCGCTTCGACGGCATCATGGGTATGGGTTTCAGCAGTATCTCGGTCAACGGGATCACTCCTCCATTCTACAACATGATCGACCAGGGCCTTATTGATGAGCCCGTGTTCAGCTTCTACTTGGGTGATACCAACAAGGAAGGTGACCAGTCTGTCGTCACCTTTGGTGGTTCCGATACCAAACATTTCACTGGTGATATGACCACTATCCCACTCCGCCGCAAGGCCTACTGGGAGGTTGATTTCGACGCTATCTCCCTTGGCGAGGATACAGCTGCTCTGGAAAACACTGGTATCATCCTCGACACCGGTACTTCCCTCATTGCTCTCCCAACCACTCTTGCTGAGATGATGTAAGTCTTGTTTATACCCTCATGCTTCACTTAAAAGTCTCTAACTGGTTATCATAGCAACACCCAAATTGGTGCCACAAAGTCGTGGAATGGTCAATACACTCTTGACTGTGCCAAGCGGGACTCTCTCCCTGATGTCACTTTCACCGTTAGCGGCCACAACTTCACCATCGGACCTCACGACTACACTTTGGAGGTCTCCGGCACCTGCATTAGCAGCTTCATGGGAATGGACTTCCCTGAGCCTGTTGGTCCACTTGCCATCCTTGGTGACTCGTTCTTGAGACGCTATTACTCTGTCTACGACTTGGGCAAGGGAACTGTTGGTCTGGCCAAGGCCAAATAAATGCCCCCCCCCTTATTTCGCCCATTTTCCCATGGCTCTATGCATAGGGGAAGGAATAACCTTATCTTTTGAATGGATACCTAATGCTGTTGAGTGCCATATATATGTGATATGGGACCCTTTTTTTTTCACTCCTCACAGAACATCTCTGTAGATTCCGAGGTGGATCTTGCCTTTGCATAATCAATGACCGGCGGAGAGAGTGGTCGAGTATCATGTTCGGTTTATGTTGCATGGTTTTCAAGGCCATGGAGATTCTTCTATTGTTACCTATCCGAAGCTGCTCCTAGAGCTCGTCTCGTATTGTTATTTACATAGTATTATTATTATCTCGTGTGTAGTCATCTCTCCATCCCATCTGTCCCGCGAGCTGCCTATAATCCAGACCCCAGCTTATAACTACCGCAGGACCCCAATCCACCAGAGCGACCGCTCTCCAAGTACCCCGTAGTACCCGTATTATTGTCCTCTTCTGACTGATAGCACGACCTCGTCTCGGTGGCTGACACTGTCGCTATGCAGGATGCAGTGTACTGACTCGTCCTTGCGCGGCAAACAACCTTAACTGCTTAAATAGCGCCCGCTTGAGTTCGCCTTCTGCTGGCCTCGAACTGCTTCATGCTCCCGCCTCGCCTTCGACCAGCGCCCACCACCACCACAAAAACAACAACAACAACAACAACAACAACAACAACAACAACAACAATAACAGCAACAACAACACAAACCGTCTACAGGACACCCCAGACAAAGCACTGCATCGCGCTTTTACGATCCTTACGCAGCAGACACCAGCTCGTCCTTTGTCCGTCTGGCGCACCTCTCGTTGCGACTCGCATTGCCACCGTCAAACGCTCGATGCCACGGCCCAACAACACTCCATAACACTCCATATAACTAACGCCCTGCCGCTCTCGGTCCATCAACAACACTCCAGTCACTATTCAGGCGCAGCATTGATTGACAAGCACAAGGGCAGCCTCGTTATCTGCAAAGGAGTCAATACCCTCGCTATTCACTCTGACGCGACCGCCGTCCCTGGATTATGGCAGCTTAGACAGACACTCCAGACGCAAAGGACACGCCTATAAATAAGCCGCCCATCTTCATCGATCTCTCAACACCTTCGCTACAGAAACAAAATCGCAGATCGCATTGCCATATCTTGCTACCTGGCATCGAAATCATCTCAGTTTCTCCACATACACCACTCGACCTACCTGCTTTCTGCAGCTTGACAGCCAAGGCATGCAACTGAAATTATCTACCAGCCTTTACTACCCGATCACCGTCACAGACCTGCTGAAGAAGACCGGCGATGAGGTAAACCAGGGGGATGGATTGTTTTCATACACCTATCGCACAACTGTGACGGAGGGTGATGGGCTGGGTAACAAGGTAGACGTCGTGAAGACGTTTCCTACGAGATTTGAAAGCACTGTTGATGGAACCTTGGTAGCTTGGAAGATCCGGAAGGGACAGGTTATTGAGGCACCGTAAGTGATTAGTTGCCTTCTTTCTGAGAGATGAGGAGATATGGAACAGTTTTGCTGACGGCTTTGGGCTTCGACACTGTGCAGTATTAACATTGCTGAGATAGACGAGCCATGCGCTCACGAAGTGCAGTTTGGTGGCATGTGTGCCAACTGCGGCAAGGACATGACCCAGTGAGTCGCTGTATGCCTTAAATAACACGATGTTTACATACTTACCAGATGTTTTTTTTACTACGCAGTGCAAGCTACAACACCGATGTTCTTGATTCACATCGAGCGCCCATCCGCATGGTTCACGACAACTCCGCGCTAACCGTCAGTGAAAGTGAAGCTACTCGAGTAGAAGAGGATGCCAAACGCCGACTCCTTTCGTCAAGAAGGCTCTCGCTGGTCGTTGACCTGGATCAAACCATCATTCACGCTACTGTGGATCCGACTGTGGCTGAATGGCAGCAAGACAAGGACAACCCCAACCATGACGCTGTCAAGGATGTGCGGTGTTTCCAGCTAGTTGATGATGGTCCGGGCATGAGAGGATGCTGGTATTATATTAAACTACGGCCTGGACTGGAAGAGTTTCTGAAAGTGATCTCCACGCTCTACGAGCTGCACATCTATACTATGGGAACCCGCGCTTATGCACAGAACGTAGCCAACATCGTCGATCCAGACAAAAAGATCTTTGGAGACAGAATACTCAGTCGAGATGAAAGCGGCAGCCTTACAGCGAAAAACCTCCAACGATTATTCCCAGTAGATACCAAGATGGTGGTCATTATCGACGACAGAGGAGATGTATGGAAGTGGAGTGAGAACCTGATAAAGGTCTCGCCTTATGACTTTTTCATTGGTATCGGTGATATCAACTCCAGCTTCTTGCCGAAGAAGCAAGAACTCAAAGCAAAGCCAAAACCTGGGTCAAAGGCCAAAAAATTGATACCCGCTGCTCCTGCCGATGCTGCTGATGCCAGTACCGCCGCCACCGAAGGAGCTGAGAAGCCAGAGCCCAATGGATCAAAATCTGAGGCGTCCGAGGCAAATGAGCCCGCTCCCACAGACCCCGAGCAATCAACGCTTGAGCAGCTGGTAACCATGGGAGGAGGGGATAACCCAGTGTTACTGCAGGAGCAGACTAGCCAACAGGAAGAAGTTATTGCACACCAGGTGGAGGAACGTCCTCTGCTTCAAAAGCAGAAACTCCTGGATGCAGAAGATGAGGCTGCTGAGACCCAACAGAGTACGGAGAATGGGGATTCTTCCAGTGATGAGTCTCAAGATTCGGTAAAACACCATCGTCATCACTTACTTGAAGACAACGACAGTGAGCTTCCGCTGCTGCAAGAGCGTCTTCAGCTAATACATCAGCGATTTTTTGAAGAGTACGACCGAAGACGCACGCAGGCTCTTGGTGGTAGAGTAACAGCACTGACGGGACATCGCGCCCCTGCAAAGGACAAAGCAGTTGACCTACAGATAGTGCCAGATATCAAGGTTTTGATGCCGGAAATCAAACGAGTAGCTCTCGGTTCCGTCATCCTGGTCTTCTCGGGCGTCCTTCCTCTTGGAACAGATACGCAGAATGCCGATATTTCACTATGGGCGAAAAGTTTTGGCGCAACAATCACTTCAAAGATCAATTCACGCACAACTCACTTGGTTGCAGGGAGAAACCGAACAGCTAAGGTGCGAGAGGCTACTAGGTACCCGAAGATAAAAATCGTTACCGTTCAATGGCTGCTTGATTGCATGATACAATGGAAGCACCTAGACGAAGAGCCGTATCTTGTTCCGGTCCATCCAGATGACATGGGCGAACCTATAGGCTCATCAGAGAATTCACCAGACAGCAAAGAGAACGCAGATGACTCCTTTCCTTCATCCTCTGAAGAATCTGATCCGACCAGCGACGACGACACGGCGAGTGTGAGATCATCGAAGTTGGCTAAACGACGAAGAAATTCCGACGAAGAAATCCGGCTATCTGCTGGCCTGACTGATCAGTCACGGTTAGGTTACGACGAACAGGAGCAGGCAACGGTACACGACGAACTCAAAGAATTCCTCGGCAGCGATAACGAAGACAGCGAAAGCGACAGCGATTTCTCTATGCTATTCCCCGACAAGAAACGCAAGCGAGAGGCCACTGAAGAAGCTGATGGCGGCGTCAATGAAGAAGAAGACACAAGCGCTGAAGGTAGCGGATCCCGTCTATCCCAGAAGATCAAGCGGTCTCATGAACGAACCACAGGTCTAAAAGAAGTTTCTACAGCTCAGCCAAGCATCTCTGCTACTGAACCGACTGCCGACGCTGAGATGCAAGCAGGCAGGGAAGCTTTAATGGGCGACCTGCCTGACGTCGAACCGAAGTACAAGGACCTAGACCCGGTCGTGGATGATCCCGAGGACGATGAAGATGCTCTTGAACGAGAGATGATGGCCGCCTTTGACGAAGACCCGGACTGGGAGCAAAACGCAGCTGAAGACGAAGAAGATGCCAACTAATTTACCACCATATAAACCTTCACCACATCCTCTCATATACCCCCCCCCCCCCCCCCCCCACCATTTACAAACAGAGAAAAACAGACTGAACTTCCAAGCATAGCGAGGCGTTGTTGAATGTTTCTAGCCTGTGGATGTGGATTTCACTACATTTACTGCCCCTGATGCTCGTTTCCCTTTGGCCCTATTGATTGATACCTATGAAGTGTTTTTGGTATGTGGTATTTTGGCATCTTCTACTCTTAACCGTTGAGTCTATGACCGTCGTCTATTCTATCTACATTTCTGGATACGGCTAGAGGCCGATGGGTACAGATTACTGGTATACTTCATACTTATGTACTTCGCTCCAACATCTTGGCCTAACATTGTACAAAATATAGCAAGGTCCAATAAAGTATAAAAATGTCCACTCTAATAGCTTCCACCGTTTAAACGCTTCATGACGTCACACATCTAAGAATAGAAGGTAGTGGCGAGGCTAGTTGAAGGTATATAGTAGAGAGCTCTCTTCTGAAGGAGAACTTGTGAGAGAATGCTCTACCATTGCCAACACATTGTGCTGATACCCTTGATATATTCTACCATGGATAGCCAGGCACCCGGTGGCGGCTCAGGAGGTGGCACAGGAGGAGGCGGCGGCGGACAAGACTATCTCGATAAAGGTACGCGATGGAATCATTCGCCCTGAGCCAGAAGGCTATATGTCTGTGATCGTTAGCTGACTTTGTGAACTCCAGCCCTCGAGTCCGCCGAGAAGAAGTTCGGAAAAGGCAAAATCGACCCCCAAAAGGCCAGGGGACTGAACGAGAAGGTCACTGATTTTGCGAGAAATACTTTTGAGAAAGTGACTGGGTGAGTCGACTGGTCAATCACTTTAAGACTCATGTTAGAGCTGCGGGACTAACAGAGGAGTTTGGTGTAGAAAGAAAGTGCCCAAGAAGTTCTCCAACTAACTTGCCGAGTGGACTATCGAGAGGCGTTCCTTTGCTTCAGTTGTACGGCCGAATGTATGTTTATTGGGCAGTTTAGGGATAGCATAAATTGGTTTTATTAGTGAAATGCATAAGAGCAAGTCGAAGTCGCAAACAACAATGTATTGCAAGGAAGTCAACTCAGGTGGCGAATATAGAAGAGCCGCTAAATGCTTGGCATGGATGATGTAGCAACTATGATTGGTTGAAAAGGTTAGCGAAGTCAACTAAGCAGCGCCAAGGTGAAGTTAAGCGCGCGCTTTTATCTGGGCTCGCTTAAGAGTGTACGGAGTATGCGGACGTGCCCTTGCAGCTTTAGAAAGACATTTGACTGTCTGGTTGGGGACGATTTAAGGGGTTTAGGGGGCTACGTAGTGTATATTTGGAGTGGGCCAAGCAGGCTGTACAGTCTGGGTGGAGATATTTCTCTTACGTGTGCTTAAAAACCCCTGGAAAACACAAACAGACTGGCTGATCTAGATCCTGCAGCCAGAAGAGAAAAGGGGATAGATAGGTTACTGGAGTACGGGATAAGACAGTCACACAAGGTACGGAGAACCCCTTTGGACGCAAACAGTACTCATCAGTGCTCCGGTTGGTATCCTGGGTGGACATGCGTCCATTAATGAAGGGCTAAATAATAGCCGGACCTTATAATGTACGAGGGAGGATGCATCCAGAAGGATGCCACGACGGATTGTGTCGTTCTGAAGTCTGCAACATGTATTAATTCTCATCTTCAATCCTAATTTGCAAATGGCCCGTGAATCTAGGAAGCATCAAGTGTGGGAAAAAAAAAAAAAAAAAAAAGTAATATGTACAGTCGTGTGAGGAAAGAGGAAAAAGAAAAAGAAACCAGCACAACAGGTAGAAGAAGGTCATGTAGGTCGTATAGTTTGGCAGAAAAGCCGTCCCGGAACGCCATCAGTAGTACGTCAGAAGCAAGAAAAAGAAAAAGACAAAAAAAAAAAAGTTAAAGTCTACATCCCGTTTATCATGAGGTTCGTAAGAAGGAAGCGAAGAACAGATATCTCCGATGCTGGCGCCGGTGAAACATGCAACCCTATTGGAATGGGTATCTTTTTTTTTTTTGAACATTGAGCGAGAACTGGAAAGCAAAGAGGACGAGGAAGAAGCCGGCCGGGGGGAGCTGGGGAGGAGGCTACTTCAGGAAGAACCCTCCGCGGACCTGGAATGAGATGATGAGCATCCAGATGTAAAAGATGGTGCTGACCAGCTCGAAGGCGAAGGCTGTTTTCCAGCAGTTACCTAGGCGTAAAAACCGTTAGTATCAGATCAATCCTTAATAAATAAACAGATAATAAAGGAGGCGTACAGATGGTGATCTGGGTGAGCCAGGCGAGGGTGTTGATGCTGGGCCCCTTGGAGGGCATGTTGACGACGTAGTTCTGGCAGTTGGAATTGACGTTTGCTTCGGTCCCGTAGAGCTCGATGGCGGTCCCGATCAGCCCTGTCAGCCAGAGGACGAAGAGGACGAAGCATCCGAGGATGATGATGTCGGGCAGCAGCAGGCCGCGCTGGATGAGGAAGAGCATGAAGAAGACGAACAGCAGGCCCAGGCCGGCGGTGGCCACCATGTACGGGAAGACCCTAGTCACCGTTAGCAAACAAGCAATTGTCTATCCAATGGACAAGAAGAAGACGAAGAAGACGAAGAGAAGAGCTAACCATGGCGTCGAGACGGAGAGCTGGGTCTGGACGAAGAGGAACCAGCTGAAGATGCCCAGGCAGGTCGCGGAGGAGGCCAGGTTGACGAGCAGCCAGACGTGCAGGCGGATCTCAGGCCACCGGAAGCGCTGGATGATCGTGTAGCCGGACGAGCTGCTCATTGTGGTATCCCTGGTGGGTTTGCGAGCCTGGCCTGTGGTCTGTGGCTTGTGGTATTATGGAGTAGATCTCTAGAGAGGGCGAGAGAGTCGAGAGAGTCGAGAGAGTCGAGATGTTTGCTGGAGATGGAGATGCCGTGGGGATGGACTGGAAAGCCGCCGCGGTGCGACTCAGCAGGAGAAGCCTCTTGCTCCCATCCGCCAGGCCAGACAGCGAGAGAGAGAGAGTCGGACGGGATGATGCAGCGCTGGTTCCAATCTGCGGCGGCCACCTGGTGGTTTGCTGGCTGTTTGCTGTTTGCTGGTTGCTGTTTGCTGGCTGTTGGGCGGTTTGTTTACTGCGTGGTGTCAACGCAACGAGACGGAGAATCGTAGAGATGAAGACGAAGAGATGAAGAAGAGACTGTCAGTGGCTTCTGTCAAGGACGTCCACGACGGCCGTCAAGGTAGCTTATGGAGTGATGCGCTGTGTGGCTGGTCGGCGCTGCGTCTTGACTCGCCCAGCCACCGCCGTCACCAGGCCAACGGGTTTCGTCTCATCTCGCCTACTTACTACTAGGTATATAATATAATGGAGTATGCTTACGGCGAGCACACGACAGGGATCGCACCAAGGAAGACTGACGGGCTACGGAGATTACTTGGAAGACGGAGAATGGAGGAGGCTGGACGTGTTCTACTGGTGCATTGAGTGTATTATCTATATCGTCTCGTCGTGAATCATACAGTCTAGAGCAGGGTGTCGCCCAGCGCGCAGCGGACGAGCGAGCAGCCGGCGCGGACGGTCTCGCTGGCGCCCATCGAGGCCAGGCTGGGGTTGACCTCGACCAGGTCCATGGCGATCAGGTTGCCAGTGGCGTGGATGCACTCGGCGATGAAGTCGCCCTCGCGCAGGGTCAGGCCGCCGCGGACGGGCGTGCCGGTGCTGGGCGCCCACTGGGGGTCGAGGGCGTCGACGTCGAAGGACAGATGGATAGGGGTGTCGTTGCCGATGTGGGCGAGGGCCATCTCGACGACGCGGCCGATGCCGTGGCTGCAGGTCAGTTAGTATAAGGATTGTGGTGTTGGAGGATACAGGGAGGGAGTAGTTGGTAGTGACGGACCGGTCGACGTCGTGCATGCTAAAGGCTTTGATGCCGTGCTCGCGCAGCGTCTGCTTCTCGGCACGGTCGACGTCTCGCAGGGCAATGTAGACCAGCTTCCGGGTGCTGATCAAGTGGTCCTTGGTCAGCCAGCCGAAGACGTCCTCGCGCTCGTCCTTGGCCAGTCCCGTCAGGAACGACACCGGCATGCCGTGGACGTTGCCGCTCTCGCTCTCCTCTGGGCGGTTCAGGTCGGCGTGGGCGTCGACCCAGATCACCGCCATCTCACGGCCGAGGCGCTCGCGGATGGCCCTGGCGGTGCCCGAGACGGTGCCGATGGCGATCGAGTGGTCGCCGCCCAGCGTCAGCACCATCTTGCCCTCGCGGGCGTGCTCGTAGACCTGCTCGCTCAGCCGCCGGGTCACCGCAGAGACGGTCCGGGGCTTGATCATGTTGCGGTATCGCGGGTCCTCGCTCTCCGCAGGCTTGACGTCGGCGTAGTCGTGCACTTTGCTGTCGAAGTCGACCTTGTAGCCGAGCTCGTCACGCACCTGGTCCAGCAGGCCGGCCTCGAGCAGCGCCGTCGGGCCCGCGTCCACGCCGGCTTTGGGCTGTGTCATTTTCTGTCAGTCCCAAGACTCACTCACTGGATTATGGATTATCCCAGGGGGGGGGGGGGGAGTTGTGGACCTACCTGGCCGTCGGAAAAGCCCACGGCGACGACGCCCAGCTCCTGGGGCCGGGAGAGGAACTTCTGCGCGATGGTCGTGGTAGGGGAAGTCATCTTTGCTGGCTGTCCGTGTGTCGTGTCGTCTGCAGTCTGGCTATCCGCTTGATATATGTGTTGCTGCTCGCAGGTCGTCCACATCGCAGGCACCGGCTGCTTTATATAGACGAGAACCGGATACTCTCGGCGGCCCACCGACCAGAAAAAAATCAAAAGAAGGGCGCAGAAGGGCTTGCGGGCTCAGTCTCTGCCTGTCTCGTCTGTCCTCGTCTCCGGGATCAAGGGGAGAAGCGCAGCAGGTGGTTGGTTGCGCTGTGCCTTCACGCCGGCTGAAGATGCTCTTAGGGGAGACGCATTCCCCTAAGTACATGTTTTGGAGAGAAGAGGAGACGCTGCAGGCGCTAGGGCAGGGCGATGGGCCGCCTCGTTTCCATCTCACGGCCTCTTGTCTTTGCTTTTTTTTCTCTTTTTTTCCGGGTTTTCTTCCGGTGGTGGCGGATGTTTGGCTGGGATGCCATTGGTACGGGGGGTCAGCGCCGGCGGAGGACCGTATATCCATATATATATCATCAATCATCAACGACGGCGATGATATCAGAGGAGAGAGAGAATAGCCTGCTCGGCGCGCTGGGCCTCGACCCGGCCCTGCTCGCCCATGCGCTTGATCTGGCCGACGAAGAAGCCGACCTTGCCATGCTGGCCCTGCCGGATCTGCTCGACCATCTGCGGGTGCTGGGCCATCACCGTCCGCGCCATCGCCAGGTACTCCTCCTGCGACAGCGGACACAGCAGCAGGCCGTCCTGCTCGACCATCTGCTGCACCGTCCGCCCGCCGTGCTCGCCCGCAAAGACCGTCGCCAGCAGCGTTTTGGCCGTGCTGCCCGTGATCTGCCTCGTCCCGACCAGATGCACAATCGCCGCCAGGCTCGCGGCCGGCACTCGCTCGCTGTCCCAGCTTGCGTCTGCCCGGCTGAACAGGCCTCCGAGCTCGTGCAGCACCCAGTTGCCTACCGTCTTGCCCGTAGCCGTGGATCTTGTGCTGCTGCTGCTGCTGTTGTTGACATCGGCATTTTGGAGAAGGTGTAGCTCGTCGACGGCATCAAGATAATACTCCAGCCGGGCACAGTCGTCCAGCTCGACCAGCGGCTTTGCATCCTCCATCGTCAGCATGTACTGCGGCTCCTCCGTCAGCATCCGCAGCAGCTCGTCCGGCGACGGCGGCATGCTCGTCCGCAGCGTCTCGACCAGCTGCTCCCCTACCACTACCGGCGCAATGTCTGGGTCTGGCATGTATCGATAATCCACCGACCCTTCTTTCTCTCGTAGCCTCCTGGTCTCTGTGCTCCCGATCGTCCAGCCGCGGGTCTCGCCGTCAATCTTCCCTCCGCCTTCCAGCACCGCGATCTGGCGGTCTCGCTCGGCCACGATAGCGTCCTCGACCGCCTTGAAACTGCTCAGATTCTTGATCTCCGTCCGCTGGCCCAATTCAGCTGTGTCTGTGTCTCCTGTCCGTCTGACAGATACGTTGACATCGGCACGTAGACCGCCCATTTCCATGCCCGTGTTGACTGCACCGCAGGACTGCAGAATGGCCTGGATCTTCCGTACGCAGGCAGCCGCCGTGGCGGGTGAGTGTATCTCCGGCAGCGTAATAATCTCGATCAGCGGGCGAGACACGCGGTTGAAGTCCAGCAACACTGTGTGCGAGGGCAGCTCCTGCGACTTGGCCGTGTCCTGTTCCATCTGTATCTGCTTGATCCCGACTCGCACCGCCTCGCCGTCTTCGGGGGCTATTCCATCGTGAGGATACAGCCAGAGTGTGCCTGCCTTTGCATACGGTTCTGGCAGTAATATCAGCCATCCATCCCCTCTACCAGTATTATCCATTAACGAGAAGTACTGAGCCTACCGTAGTACTGCGTGATCTGATATCCAGCCGGCTGGTCCTGGTAGAAGTAGTGCTTGCGGTCAAAGTGGCTCACGCTCTGTATCTCACAGCCAAACGCAATGGCAGCTCGCAGCGCCGGTATCAACGTTGCTGTCTGGAAGGACTGTCATTTGTAAAGTCAGACATGACATACGTCAATATATAGCAAATGCAGGGTAGATAAGCTGGTACTGACTGGTTGACTGCCGGGGAGCGCGAGATCGAACAGGGCGACGTTTGTATTCGGCGCATCCTCTTGAGCAGCAGAAGCCCCTACACAATCAGTTCAGCGTTTTTCATTCTAGAGACTTTTTTCCCCTCTATCTTTCTCTTGTGCCAGTGCTTCTTTATAGCCATTAACTCACTGGAAAACAGCTTAGAGTCCGTATCCAGCTGGGCGTGGACCTCAATGCCGACTGTCAACTCCCATCCTTCAACCTGCGAGCTCGCGCCTCTCGACTTCTTCTTTCCCTTTCCCTGCAGCCGTTTCGCCTTCGTCTCGTCCTTCAACTGCTTCCGCAACGGCACGAACGGTTTGGCATCACCGGCGATGCTGCTGGTCGCTGACTGGACATGCTGCGTGCTGAGTAGCCGTCTGCTTGGGGTCCAATGTCGAGCAGCCACGGCAGCCGAAGACAGGAACAGACGAGGGTGTAGCAGCCGAAGCCTGACCATCTGCAACTGCATCTGCATCTGCCTCTGCTCTTCTTCTTATCCTTCGTCTTTGTTGCCTTGGTCTTCGCTGGTGGAAGCTCGCGGTCGGGCAGCTCGTATGTATGCTTTGGTAGCAGCGCAGGTTGGGCGACCACAGGCCTCTGCCGTCTATTCTTCGTCTCCTAATTGAGCGAGCTGGCTGACAGCTGGAAGCAAATGAAAATGAGAATAATTAGGAGTAAATCCGTTGGCTAGTCTGGCTCTTCTGCAGGGAAGAAATGCGAGTAAGTCGAGGATTTGATTTTCCGTGGCTTTGGATTTGGCTGTCGTTGCTTTTTCTCGGCCATCTAGACAGTCACTCGCAGCCATCACAATCCCCCGAATATTATACGGAGTAACTAATAAAATAAACAACGCTGTCGAGCCGACTGATCTGGTCGGATATTTCTTGACAGCGAGGAGTGCCAGTGCCAGAGCAGAGGAAGAAGCAAAGAAAAGCCACTGCCAGCGCCTCTGTCCGTGTAATACGGGCCAATATCAGACTGCTATTCGCTGGCCGGGGTCGCAGGAGGACGAGGACGGCAGACTTTTGCCCTTGATCGTCTGCGTGCAGGCTGCCCATCGAGTTAATAATAGCCCAGTTGCTCTGTACAGAGTAGAAAAGTTGGATCTCTTCTTCTTATCCCTCAGAGTTGGACGGTCGTGTGTCTCTCTGTACTTCGTGATATCCGTCCTAAGGCCGCCAACCGACGGACTGATGTTTCACCACGGATTATGTATATTGATCCCTTGAGTCTTTAAGTAGCATTCTCTCTTGCAGTATATCTGTATCCTCTGTATCTGGCTGTGTCTGCCTGTCTTGTACTCCGTTCTGTCTCTGCACCGCATCCCTGGCTGCCACCGGGCTGATAGACACCGCTCCAGATGACTTCCATATGATAAGCAGATGATGGACACAGCCGGCTCTGCTTTCGACGAAGGTTAGCAACAGTGCAGAAGTCACTAAGCAAGCCACAGAGCATGGGCATGTCCAAGGGTCCGAGGCAGCTAACTTGCCTCTGGCTGGCCCCCAGACGAATCACCGTCCTCCTGCCCCGGACGGCCTTGGGTAGAAATCACCTTGATCCTGGGGAAGTAAAAGAGTATACGGCCGTCCGTTTGAACTAGCGACAGAGAGTCGATAGATGAAACCTTTCTCATCTGATGTGACAAGTCACTGGCCGGCGGCATGGGAGTCGAAGCTGAATCCGCATATCCATCCATGAAAGAAAGCCCTGACGCCGTGAAGCCGAGGACACGCACACTGGGTAGATAGTGAAGCAGTTATGTGTGTCCCCCGTAGTTTATCTCGGTCCAGATCCCTCGAGACGAGCGGTATCTCGACTTCTGCTGCTCTTGTTTCATCTTCTGTTGGCTGTCTGGCTGGCTGGCTGCGTTGGTCTCACGGCATCAAGGCTGGTCGTTTAACATCCCCAGGTCATTGGCAGCGCATCCAGTATTTGCTTCTTCTCTCCGTCTTCGTCTTCTTCTTCTTCTTCTTCTTCTTCTTCTCGTCTCCGTCTTCGTCTTCTTTTCTTTTTTCTGCTCGTCTTTTCTAGTTATCCGTCGTCATCGCACACAAGGGCAGAGTCGCAGCCCTCCATGAGACGCCCGCATGCCCGCCATCTAACCGTGTCGATCGGGCCCAGGGGTGTTTCATCGCACTATTGAACCTGGCCGGGTTGGATGGAATATATTAACCTCGTCGTCTATCGTCTATCTATCGAGTGACTAGTTGTTGTCTGTCTCTCTGCTGGCCGTCTATATATCTACCCGAGTGCTGGCCGCTTCACGGTAGAACAGAACCTTCGTCTCTGCTGTAACTAGTCAACTGCCTAACCCGCCGTCAGCGAAAGGAATAAATAACCATCTATCTTGGACAGTGACATCTGCTTACTGCTGCCCTGCCGTCGCCTGACTTGACGCTGCCTTGGTCTCTCGCCTGCTCGTGGCTGCTTCTACCTCGCCGTGACCAGCTCTGTGAGACGCTGCCAGCCAGAGTTGACCGCGGGCGGGTATAGCGAGCGACCTACTAGACGGCGGGCTGTACCGCCCTATATCCCAGATCTATAACCAGATATCCCCGGCCTAGGCGGCTGTACGATCTATAAGATGGCGCCGGGGAAGAGCAAGAAGTCGAAGAAGGCCTCCGCCGTGCCCCTGCAGCCTCCGCCGCCGCCGCCGCCGCCGGTCTCAGGCTCGTCGCTGGACTTCTCCTATGCCATCCCAGAGGCCGAGCCGGCGCCAGACCACCACGGCTACAGCATATTCAACGAAGCCCTGGATGCGCCGTACGAGGAGGACAAGGAGTTTGCTGCCGCGTCTTCCTCTGCCGCTGCCCGGCGACGAGCGGCCAGCAGAGCCAGCGAGCCCGCCGTCGCGCTCCCGGCCGCCGCTGCGCCCATACCTACTACTTCTTCTATACCCGCTACCTCGATACCATCGTCTATACCCGCGCCAGCACCTATATCTACGTCTGCAGCTCCCATAGAGCCGGCGGCAGCAGTCTTCTCCTACCTCGATCACCCGCTGGACGAGCAGATGCAGATGAAGCCGCCGTCGTCGCATTCCAGAAAGGCCTCCGAACCCGTCCTGCCCGGGGCCCCGCGGCCAAAGGACCATACCCGCAAGGCCAGTCTCTCCCAACTGCTCAGGACGGTCTCGGGAGGATCTTCCTCTACGGCCAAGGATAAAGAAAAGGACAAAGAAAGAGACCTCAGCCCGAGCCGGTCGTCGTCGGCGTCAAAGGAGTCTGAATACCAGCCCATCACTCCTCCAGACATGCTGTTCGACCCTATCAACCTCAACATCCCGGGGACCAAGGGCATGTCAAAGTCCCACATGGCCGGCTCCTACATGACGGACTTAGAAAGCCTGCTCGAGGGGCCTACTTCCGCTGCCCCGGCCTTCATGAGCTTCTCCCATCCGGAATCCTTCTACATGCCGAAGAGCATGCTCTCATACTCCATGGCTCCTCCGCCTCCCACCAAGCAGCAGCAGCAACTGCAGCATTCTGATAGAGCACCGGCAACTGAAGCCTCCAGACGACGCTCCCAGGCCTCACTTCCCGAACAGTTTGAATGGACTGCTACACCCGAGACACCCCACCATGTATACCGCAAGTTCGAGCGGCTGAACCACCGTGTGCTGCGGCACTTGCAGGAGGAGATAGCCCAGTTGGAAGACGATCTGCTCACCATTGATGATATTGAGGCTGCCCGGGCTGGTGCTTCGGGCTCTCGTGCTTCTTCACGCCAGAAACAGCTCGCTGCAAAGTACCGCGATCAGATACAGGATCACTCTGTCCTCCAGAATAAACGGACAGACCTTCTCGACAAGATCATTCTCAAGACCGACCAATACAGTATGTTCCACTATCCTATCTTACCCACACACACACACACAGCTTAGAAATGCTAACAAATTCATAGATCGGGCGCTGTGCTCCTTTTCTAAAGTGATCAAGAATCTACCAGCTGCTTCTGACGATGATATCGATGCATACAGGACCTTCCTACGCTCTCCTGCAGGCGCATCTACTAAGAGCGAGAGGAAACTCCTAGACCAGCGATCCGACCTAGTTACCATGGCTCCTCGCCCTGCCAGCGCCCTGCATTCGAATCCCCTCTACTCCACCGTGGCTGCTATATTCGCTGCCATCCTCTTCCCCTTGCTCGCCTTCGGGGCCATCACCGAATTCTTCGGACGTATTGTCGTCGTCTCCTTTGTTGCGGGTTCGTTTGCCTGGTGGGCGTCAAACGGACCTCCAGGCCATGACTATCTCATTGAGCCACAGGATGGCTGGAAGTGTGCTGTCATGTAAGTCATTCCTTTCAATATCCCCGTATCTCTCCCCTCTGATAACCAGTTACTAATGCCTATGTACAGTTACTTCGGCTTCATGACTATCGCAGCACTCCTGCTTTGATGCCTTCATACTCCTGTTATCTATCAAAATACCTTCGGCATTAACTACTTATACCCTTCCTCCGCCTCTAGTCTTCGCCGGTTCGACTTCTAGGATGCATACACTGGAATATTTCATGTTCCGCTTTCTTCTTGGTTCCTTCAAAAAAAAAAAAAAAAAAAGGATTACTTTTCCTACCATTTCGGTCTATCAATCTCATGTACGGTTCTATGTTTTTTTACGATGTTATGATTCCAGGAACTTCAAAAAGGGGGCTTCTTCCTTTCTTTTCATCCTGCGCCATAATTGATAATGATCTTATCCTTCTCTTGCTATGGGCGACCTTCTTTCTCCTGTTTTGAATGTACGGCTTATGAGTTTCATCTCCCCGTTTCTAAACAAGCAACCCTTGCAAGGATTACTTCTGCTCGTTCCATAAGACGAGGGGTATTTTTCTACCTTACTATTACCTATGTATTAACCAGCTTGTTTTCTACTATGAATATGCCTCGTATCTCTTACCAATCGCTTATATGAAACTATCAGGGATGGGGTAAGTCTATGCAGTGTTACAGTGCAAGCCTTAGTTTGCGCGAATAGATAGACAACCAGAAGAACCTGAAATATTTCTCTTGCATTAATCGCATTAACTAGAAATACTCCTTATCCCTTTAAAACACACATGGAGAACATTAGTAAATACGAGTCGATTCGCCTTGACTTAAGGGCTCGTGAAAAGGCAAAGAAAACAAGTACATAGATCAAATGGAGAAAAACACCGGTCAAAAGCCATCTTCAGAGAACATTCCACTATATAGTCCAGCCAGCCCATTTAGCACATAAGTAACAATCAAGCAAGCCCTTGGATGATCTTTTGTTGTTTTCAACCTCTTTGTTTTCCTTTTATTTGTGTGAGTGTGTTTGGAAAAGCCTATAAGCTGGACTGATTAAAGATCCCTTTTAAATACCTCCATGCACCAGTGCAGAATAAAAGAACATAAAGCAGAAGGACAGCGAGTGGTCTACTCGGATAATTAAGGTAGAATAGAGATGGAAGGATAGACAAAGCAGGGGCAGAAGATGAACGAGGCAT